TTTACTACGCCTAAATTAATGGCTTTTTAATGAAGTCTGGTTAAATTTTGTGTATCTTTTTTCCAACAATTCCAATTACACTACTAATCAAATGAACTGAAATCCTTTGTATAAAAAAATAGTTAATACAAATTCAATTCATGACTACATTTGAGTCAAATTAAAAACAGAGAAACAAGCTAAACAAACTAGAAAAGATTAGATTGACTCAAACCAAGAATACTGGATTGGTCTAATAAGGATGGTAAAGAAAGTAAAATGATTTCTAACAATAACTTTACTGTGCAATAAAAAAAAAAAAAAACATAAAAGTAGTCGCCTGGTTATGTAATCAGATGTCACATGTTGGTTTTAGAGGCAAGTGATACAATACCTTGACCTTACTAATGAGTTAAATATGCGTGTGGCGCTTCTGTCTGACTCTGCTGGACTTCTGGTGGCATTTCAGTTTAAACTACTAAGGCAGAGACATTCTTTACAGAGTCTAGCCCAGTCTGAGGTTTGCAGAAGACCAACTCAGTCCAAATGCAAGTCACTAAAGCTGGATTGTGGTGGTGGAACCACACGGCTGCAGGGCGGCTCAGACAATAGCAGGAAAGCTGACCACAACAGCTTCCTGGAGCTGTTAACACTGCTGGCATTGTCTTCTATTGACGGCCTTTAATCAGTGTGATAGAGCTGCTCCCTGAGCTTTGATGCCACACTTGATTTATTTTTCTTTAGAATAATTGGTGTATACTTTCAAGTGTCTACTGATTGCACCATTCAGTAGAATTGTGTCTCAGTTCCTTGCAACCAGTCCAAGGAACCAGTAAAAGGTTTCCAGTAATTTTCCTTTCAGTGAGTAATTGGGACGACAGGGGGAAAAAAACAAGTTACAGCAGTGTCTGAGGTTACTGTAAATAGTAATTCAATAGTCTCAAAATAAACGAACAAGTCTGATTAGTGCCATGTAGAGATAATAAAAGGTCTGGAAAGCAATGGGAGGCAGACAGTTTTCTGTGGACTAAACACTGAACCCACTTGTTGGGAAAATTCCCCCAAAGCTCAGCTCTGGACTCGGTTATTTCAAATATACCATAATTGTAGTTCTCCTAGTGTATTTTGTACATCTGAAAGGTTTGGAGAAGGAGACGGCAGCACTGGATTCAAGGAAACCTGCAAACAGGAGTAAATCCACAGAAAGAAGGCAGCGAGAGGCGAATTCCCCTGGAATACTGCCCTGGGAGAGACACGGAACCGCCGAGGCTCAGCTACTATGGCCCTCACAGAGTATCCTGTCCACAAAATGGGAAAGCGTTCCCTAAACTGAACAGGCTTTCAGAGAAACAGATCCCAGCAGATGGGCCCTTCTCCCTGAGCAAATTCTGTTTACCAAGCAGCTGGTTTTCAGCATATTTCCATAAATACAGCTGGAATCCTAACATTCTTTCATCATCAGAGCCGTATTCACATTCTCAAATCAGCAAGGATAGAAAAAAGCTGTTCTATATTAAAATGATAGTCCTGTGCTGCAGTTATAAAGCAGTGCAGCAAAACCAGGGTCTTCAAAAATGTAACCAAATGACAAAGAGCATTAAATATGAGGGGGGAAGGAAATGTTCCTGGAGCTTTAATCTAACCACCAGGAAGGTATGTTTCATTCTTGGTTATGCGTTCAAATTTAATGGGAAACGACTTGCTTTGGCAAGAATCTTTAAGGGTCAGGGTAGAAAAACAATGTAATTTCAATTGGAATTATTATCAACTCCTTAGCTGCAAATAATGAATAAAAATACTTCTTTTTTATCTTTAAACTGTTAACTTCTTGGAAAATCAGTTCAAATGAGAAAAAAAAATGCTAAGAACTTTAAACTGGCAGCAGTAGAAAACCTTCCTTTATAACTGAGCTTTTTCAAAATTAAGTCAAAAATTTGACAGAATAAATCATTACAGTAGCACTATTTAGTTTCTGCAAAGCAGGTTTTTTATTGAACTGGGCCAATTTTCAACCAGACCGCTGTTCAATTAGGAATTACTGAACATGTATGGCAGATGGAGAGAAAAAAAAAAAAGAAAAATACATAATAAAGGCATTTTTAAACAGTTTGCAAACAGAATGTCATTTGCAATGTCAATGAAATGCCAAACTTGAAAATTAAAGTTTAAAGTTGTTTACCAGCTCAAACATCTAAAAAAACTGTGTTTTCTTTTTAAAGTATAGTCTTTTAGAAATTCCGAAGGAAAAAAATCTGAGTCATGTCAACTAGGATAAAAATGCATTAAAAAAATCTTCTTCATGGGGTTTCACAGTTAAATATTGTATATTTGTAAAAGTTTGGTCTCAGTCTATTACACATTTAAATTATCTTCAAATTAACAAATTTTTTTATTAAATAACGAACAATTTGAATGATATCTGGGCTCCCTCACCCAGGAGGCATTTCAACACATGGATGAAGGATGACCACACAGACAGCCTGAAAGGAATACCAAGGACCAATCACAGCTGATTTTTGTCTGCCCACTTCCGCTTGAGGTCTGCGCGGGTTTGCGACCGTCCCACGTGTAGTCAGGATTGTTTTGAGGTGAACAACGACGGTTGCAGAGCCTCTGCGCGGGGGGCATGGTCACAGTTGCAGAGGCTATGTGTCAGAAGTATAAATTGGCCTTTACACGTACCTACACACATTGTTCAGACAATTATTACCCAAAGCCCACGCGACCACAGCTATTGCAAAAATATGTATACGCTCATGTAAAGACTTGGAGTATCCATTGATGTTTGCTGCTCCTCTGCCGACTAATATCTGAAGAAAATCAGTTTGAGCCTTTTCCTAGACAGTCTCATGCTTGGATCTCATTTTACACAGTTTGTTCATTACTTTCAAAAAGCTTTGTTTGCTAGAGAATGTGACTGATTTATCTATTCGCCTCAGTATTTATTATAGTTTATAAACTGTATGAAATATGAACATAAAATGATATGCTTTAAGGTTTGAATAAGATAAAAAAAGGCCTCTGGCATTGCAACTAGCAGCCAAGACGCTTATATTTAAATAAAACTATTATTAGGGATTCAACAACAGAGCAGCACACTCCCAGAGTAAAAAAAAAAAGCAAATGCATGAAGCATTCAATTTAGTCAGCATGGCTTCAGTCAGCATAACCATCATAGATAATAAAGCAGATAGCAGGCATCCAGGGATTCAATTTCACAAACATGTGATGAGGTGAGGGGCTGCGGAAGGCCCGTAACTCACTGATGCAAAGCTTACATCAGCAATAAAATATTCATGAACCCTTCAACACCCGTAAAAACAACCAATGCTCTACACACATCTGATAAACTTCACTTCCTTTACAAAGCAGATGGCAGATCTAGAAAGGAGCAGCACGCCTTTGGATCTGGGGTCACTCATCTTTTGGGCCGGAGCGAGCCAACTGTAAAGAGGTTTGGATTGAAAGCGAAGAGAGACAAAGATCCTGTTGCTTCAATAAAGCAGATGAAATGACTATTTGGAAATATAAACAGTGCATTTCCTGGAGATATGGGGAAAAATACATTTTATCTCCAGCACATTTACACAACATTTCTGCCAAGTTGGCAAGGAACTGGTGAGTTACTGGAAATGCTCAAACAGCAAACACGCACAAACTCAGAATGGAGTACTGTGTGTGTGTCTACTTGTTTATGTTCTCAATTTAGGGCCGTTTTGGTTTATTTACTAACCTTCTGAGGACCAGCAGACCTTGTGAGGACCAAAGCCTGGTCCTAACACCTTGGATCCCCAGGTTTTAATATTAGGGAGTCTGTTTAGAAATATGGTGGTAATTCACTTTAGGTTAAGTTTAGGGTCAAGAATCTACTGGTCATAGTTATGGTTTGGTTAAAGTCACGGCTAGACATGAAAGCAGTAAATGGAAAGTCTTAATGTGGATATAAACACAAACCTGTGTGTTTGTGTGGGGTAGGGGGTGGGGAAAGAAATTCAAAAAGAAACAACCTTTTTTTCTTGTTTTGACAAGTTAAATAAGTGGCATGTAGTGACAGTGACTGAACACTGAACAGGTAACACGGCACCAACAAAAGACTTAAACGTCTAAAGAAAAAGAAAAAAAAAGTGTGTTTTTATTTGCTGTGTTTATAGAAGCACGGCAGGAAGATCAAATATTAACTAGCTTCTTCCTCCTTGTGTTTATGAAGACAGAAACCAGCAGCTGTGTGAAACTGACAGAAACAATATCTGATCTGAAACCTAATACCTGCGTCTCAGTTACACCGTGGCACGTCCAAACAGCTCAAACTGTTACAATTGGACCCGGCCCCTGCTGAAAATGAAAAAATAAATAAAGCTCCACCCCTATGGCACATTCCTGCCTCCATTAGGCTCCTTAAAAGCTTTTTAAAGTTTACCTCCTTGTTTTCATTGTTGAAAAAAAAAAAAAAAAAGCCCTTATCTGTAGGTCTTTACGCTTTTCAGGTTTTGCCACGCTGGGTCAGCTTGCATGTGTGCCACATCAACAAACATGAGGGAGAGAGGCCTGTGTTAATAAAGGACACGGCAGTCTGACACAGCAGAGCACCCTGTTCTGGTCGCCTGCTCCGTGACATGAAATGTGAGCCAAAAACCAACAACTTTTACAGACAGATCGATGTAAGATCCCTTTAAATGAGCTCCCAGCTGCTTCACTAATTCAGCTGAAGGGACAAGACAGATGTAGGCTTTATAAAGAAGCTTTCATGAAATCATTTCACAAGAATGTAGATTTTTAGTCGCAAATATGTTCACACCTGGGCCTTCAACAGCCTTATCTTTTAACAGTTGGACGAGATCTTTGTTTAACGGCGCCATGAAGTAATTTCCTTCCTTAAAGGGGTGTGTCAACCCACCCCACCAACCAACATTTATAGTAAATAGGAATCATATGAATCTGCCTCCTTCAAACACTTTAAAACTCCAGGGGCTTCAAATAGCGAGCATTTTTTTCCCTCAACCAGCCAGAGTTCTCGTTTTTTTCTTTTGATTAAATCTGCTAATCATGTCATCTAAGAGCTGTCAAAAACAGAAACAGAAAAATGGAGGAAAAAAGAACAGAAGAAATCAAACAAAACTGCTTTTTCCATTACTGTCCTAACATTCTTCAAATACTTAATCTCCCAACTGAAGGGGGGAGCATGTGCACACATGTGAGTGGGCTCAAATTTAAAAAGGTAAAGGATTCCTGTCCAAGAGTTTTCATGTCTCTCCTGCACATCTGGCTCTTGTTATAGGCTCTGTGACCTGCGTGTGGTTGGGCTCCATCCCAGCCCCCATCACTCCGCTGTGGGAGAGCAGAAAAACAAGTGAGTGGTGCTGCTGCAGTTCCCAGGACCCCTGGCAATATGGGTGGTTCACTGCTTTGCTACGGGTGAGAGATTACCTCCCACTGACCATCCTGCTATTCTTCTTTTCATCTACTTCTTTGGAGTTTTAGTTTTCTGTTGTTTTTTTTGTCTCTACAGACATATTCCTGTTATTTGAGTCCTTTAGAGAATAACAACACTCTCTTCCATCATCTGTGGGATTTATTTAAACACATAATTAATCTTCTATATCATATTGATATATATAAATATATATTTTTAGAAATTCTGAGGATTCAGATGCGATGCGTCTTGCAGCTCTAAAGACATTAAAGCAGTTCAGCCAGATGTAGCTGCATCCATCATCCCTTTAGGTGTAAAAAGCAATTTGTGCATTTCTCAAAAAAAAAAAAAAATGTTTTATTGATTTGGTTGGAAAAACAAATGTAGCTTTGCTGCCTAAAAAAAGAGAGAAGTGATTTGTAACCCTTAGCATCAACATCTGGAGTGCTACAAGATCACCCTGGTCTGAGATGAGCTCATGCAAATTTATGAGCAGACCAGTAGCAATTTGTTGCTCGCTGTAGAAACTGCAGCAAACAAATTCCCTCTTATTCTCTGCAGAGCTGAATTTGACCAGGATTTTTTTTTCCAGCCAGATACAGATTGTCCACTTTTCTTAGAGGTCTCTGTGCTGCTGATTTTAACTTTTGCTTTCTAGCAAGTGCAACACATAAAACATAAAAACGTGCAGCAGGTTTTTTTTCAACGACTGCAAAGCTCGTGCAGTAGGTTGATGCATTTGGAAAAAAGATAAAGAGGGGGACTCCCAATTTCAATGCATGTTATGATTAGGGAAAATGTATGTATTTTTCAGTGTTTGACCTGCTGAAAGGGGTTTGGAAATTAAACATTCCATGGGGAAAAAAATTCCTATTATAAGTGCTGCAATGAATTATTTTTCTACCACTATTTCATTAATACAGGAAATGCTTTTCCCTATGAATCAATATATCTAGAGACCCCCCCCCCAAACAGTTTCCTCCTGGCGTCACTTCCACTGCAACAACAGTTCTCTATTATTTGGATAATCATGGATTAAGGGTTTATTTTGGAGCCATCAGCCGTAAAGTTTGTCCTTTTCTTTAACAGACGGAAGGAGATGAGTCAACTGTGAAGTTCATTAACTTCCAAAGAGGAGCAGCTGCACTGAGATAAAGTGAGAACTGGGGGGGTTGATGAAAAAGAGAACCACAGCAGCGGATAAAAGGATGCTCACTCATTGAAGGCAGCAAGTACCAAGAGGAGACGCTATAAACTGGAGGGTATTCGCACCATTCTGTCACTAATAAACTAGCCCAGCATTGTAACAATCCCCCTCCTCCCTGGATAAAAACAGTTGTCTGTTCCCAACAAGGGGCCAAACCCAACAACTTTGACAGCAACTCGGATTCAGCAGCATTCATTACCCAACTTCAAAGCGGCAACATCTCTACGGGACATGCTATGCTAACTGCGTTCTGGAGCACGCCCCCCCCCCATCTCAAGTAGGACAGAGTCACAGCACAGCCCGGTGTGTTAAAGATTAATGAAGATATTGCAAAGAGCAAACCATCTTACAAAACATGCTTAAACGAATTGAAATATTTAGGAGCGGCAATCTGTAAGGGTTAGTGTGTTTGACTTGAGGGCCCTGGAGAGGCCTTCAGGGAGGGGGAGGTCATATCGTATCTATGATGAATAGGGTGAGTGATGCTTTGACGGCAGCTGGATAGGATCATCTACAGGAAACCTGCCTGCCCAGAGCCCTGTTTTTTAATGCGCGATAGCGAGGCATTTATCACCTTCAGGATGATTTAGGGATGTTTTTGCTTAGCGGCAATTTTATATGATCCGGCCACATTTATTAAATGGGCTGTCCCTCTGCAGTTTACATCTCTTTATAAGTTTACATTAGCGCATACACACTTGTTTTATAGATATAATTATAGTCCCACCCTATTGACAAAGCTAAAACCGTCTAAAAATTTATTTTCCAGCATAACTCCTTGCTGAATTGTCTTTTACAGCCCTGCATCTTATAAGTCGACTCAACGGCACGATCGAATCCAGATCGTGAAGGTAACGGTGATTTCCTCTGTTTTTGTGAGGATTTAAGGGTTTATTTCACGCTCCGCTACAGAGTGGGCTCAAACGTTCCTGCGTCATTAGGAGAGACGGCATGGAGGAAATTGCAAGGAGGTGTAGACTCGATTGTGAGCTGTTAATGAAGCTGCTGGGGTCCTGTGTCTTAAAAAGAGGCTGTGTTTAGTTATAGTGATCACAAAACAGGACCCACCCGCGTAGGATGGTACAAGTCATGCGGAGCAGCTCCAATCAGCGCTCAGCGGGCTGCTTCTTCTTCCATCATCATCAAATCTTGTTAAAACGACTTTTACAGCAAATAGCAAATCTTCATCGGGCTCATGAGATTGATAAGTTAATATTAATGTATGGTAAGGTCAAATGTGAGACTAAAATGATGAATTCTTGAAAGACTTCACAAGCCGACAGAAAACAGGGTTACGAAGCTGCAGAGAAGCCCTGGCTACTTTTAAATCATTTAATCAGAAGCATTCAGAATGAAAAAAAGAAAGAAAGTGAGAAAGATCGACAGACAACAAAGGAAGAGTTTGAAAGCACAGTGAGAATGAATTTTCAGTCACAGAGTTTCTGACAAGAGAGCAGCAGAGAGAGAAAAAAAGAGAAATGCAGCAAATGTTCTGAGTTCTGAAGCTGAAGCCCAGATCGCTTCGTCAAGGACCATTAGCCTACGTGAGTAAGGCACTCGCTGGGTCCCCCAACATGAAATATTAAAACGTCCAACATTGAACTCAATGGTCCAACTTTTCTAATCATATCAAACACTGCCAGGGGTTTCAGGGATACAGAAACAGACGTTCACCAACTGACACAGTGAAAAGCTGCCCACACTGCTGTTTTGACTTCTCTGCTTAATTAAATGAAAATAAACACGGGTTGTTCTAGTTTCATTTATCGGACAGACACAGATGCGTTTAAAAATGACCGAGGTCGGCCACTGTCCATGCTAATGCAGATAAATCATGCGTAATCTAATCATAAACATACGTTTCCTGTAAGCTTGGACTCTCTGTCCTGCTTGGGCCATTTTTCCATCTCTGTGACCAACATCTTCACAGAAGTAAACGATGCCAGCTCCGTCTGGGCTGCATTAGCATTTCCCAAATCAGCGATTAGAGCAATAAGCCTCAACTAACAAAGATTAGACATGTCTAAATTCATATAAGAACATCTTACAACACTGTAAGCTGGGTGGAGATGGATTGATTTCTAAATAAAAATATAATGCAACATTGCAGCAAACAAATTTTGGAAATTTGTTTTTGCTCCTTTAAGCAAAATCAGAGCCAACACTCAGATACAGGAAAACACTTTGTATAACTGAATAAAAACATGCATTGATGCAGCTCCTAATCCTTTATATTGTTTATGAGCAAAGCTGTAGTAATCTTCAGATAAGAGTTTCATATCTAAAATTGCATTCATTGTGTCTAATCTAATATTATATTACTGTAGGAGTCACTATCAACAATCAGAGATGAAGTAAACGCTGCTTTTTTTCCCCCACCACTGCTGAATGCTTGTGGGTCTCCAAGCTGCGCTGGTATGAATATCTGACTTTCAGCCTCACACAGATGGAAATACTTCAGATTGCACCAAAATTCCTCCTAAATTAGAGCGACATCTACATGAAACCCTGATACACAGCTGACAGTGTCAATAAGAGGCAGAGTGGAAATCTGCACAGAAGGCTTCCCACTTTTTTTCTGCATGTAAATACAGTAAATGATGGATTGTGTCTGTATAAATTAGTTAGTGGGGTAGATTGCAACAGCCCCAAAGGGAAAGGGGTGCACTTTGAACAAGCTGTTAAAATTAAAGGAAAGTATCAGTTGTGCAGAGAGTAAAGATTAAAAGTTGTGACGTCTCTTTTTTAGCTTGGAGAATGGAGGGTATAGATAAAAGGAAAGTTCTGAAGAAGGCTGCCCTTAAGTGTGCTGCTGTGTCATGACTTACAGATCCCACAGATCTCATCTACTTTATCAGAACTTGCACTGTGTTTGCCCCTTCTGCTCAGTTCTTTAATGTCGTGTCACAGAATATTAATGATTGTTATAAAAAAAAAAATGCTTCCTTGAGAAGGAAGGAGGAAATGAGCACATTTGTTAGCAGAACTGGTCCAACATGGTGGCATGGGGTACAGTGAGGGCACAGTGTCCCAAACACAATCCTCCCTTACAGGCAAAGCCCTGGAGTAAGAAGCAACTTTTTAAATAGATTGCTGTATGAATACAGTTTATTATCTGCTGCCAGCGTCTGAAGTCCATGTTCAACTGAAGGGAAGCTACAGGCTTTAGAGAAGTGCTGCTAAGTTTGAAGTGAACACAGAAAAGGCTGCTTTTAAATAAGAAAAAGAAACGTCAAAATCAAACGCAAACTCGAGTGAAATCAGCCTTTTCCTTTTCATTCTGAAAACCCACAGAATGCTTTCTTAAAGAATAGACCCATCCCAAAAATATTTTTATTTTACTTAAAGGAGAAAAATATATGCAAAATATATTGTAATCATGCTTTAGTGTCTAAAACTGTCTGTTTGGCGCCCTCCTAAGGTTTAAACTAGGTTACTACATCCGATTTGTTGGTGTTGGCTTCCTGGTTATTGTGACATCACCTTGAGAAAATGACATCAGCTGAGGGCAAAAGTGTAAAAAAATAAAATGAATAAATAAATAAAAAGTGTCTCTCAAATAAAAGAAAAGAAAATGTGGTTCTATATGGATACTCTTCACCACAGCTGCAAAACTCAGGTTTGGTGCATACATATCTTTAGGGTTAACTCTGATCAAAATAAAACCTATTATTTGAAACTCTGGCAACAATGTACCACCTACAAAATGTATTGAGTCTGTGGTCCTCTGCCTCAGGAGTCCTTGGGCATCTCTTAGCAGTATAGCTCAAGACTCCGAGGATCCTTCACAGAAACGTCCTTACATCCATAAGGTGCATTTTTAAAATGTTATATGAGGGCAGAAGTAAAGCTCTGATATGGTTGAGGATAGGAGGAAGAAGGAAGCAATAGAAAAAGATGTTTCTTGGAAAATGAGGCTTCTGTCACTTACTGAACGGCACTCCCACATTACAATCATTATAAACAGCATGGTACAGCATTCTGAGTTTGTGCTGAACGGCCAGTTAATCACTCAACATGAGCTCAAAAGAGTTTCAGATTTAAGCATTCATCTTCAGTAAAACTCTGATGTGCCACAAACAAGATGAGAACGAAGCTGAAATCCTGAGGCCACAAAAAAAAAAAACAATGTTTCAGCGTAGGCATGTAACCCACAAAGAGAAACAGGAGCAGCTTCAGCAGCAGCCAAGCCGTTCAAATGAAAAAGCAGATCTTTTTGTTGTGGCGCTGCCTCCAGTTTATTCATTTTTAAGTCATCCTTTTTGATCTTTTGGCATTTGATCCCATCCACACTGAAGATCTGGCACCTAATGGTTCTCGGCGTCCATTCACTCGTGTCAGTCCTCATTACTGACCTCCATCTTACCAGTAACAGCTTCCTTCAAATCCCATTTCACTGTTTATTTAAATACCTCCCTAATGGGAGCGCAATCGGACCAGGAATAGCGCAACGATTTCAGGTCTGCTTTAACTGCTGCGCAAGTCTGATGATGTGGGCAAGAAAAAGGAGGCCTATAAAATGCAAAATAACCATCAGCAGATGCAGGATGGTTGTTAAAGCTGCTTTACTGCAGTGTGAGTCAGCTGTTTCTTAATTGTATGACTTCAACTTAGTTGTAATTATTCCCTGGGTTTTAAGTAGCACTCTGAAGTGGAAGCTTAGTCTATTACTTGATGATTTTGATTGTTTACCATTAAAACACCTGGTATTTTAAGTATATCCCATCATTCATTCTGATTTTTTATTTGTTTTGCTCTTTAAGATCAACTACATTGAAGTTGGACTGAAGGAAAAAATGAGTGACAAACCAAGTTAGAGAATGGCAGGTTATTATGGAGGATTCTGACCCAGAAGTGCACTAACTGTCAGGATTAAGGTGGTGCCTCATTGCACCATCAGTCAACAGTGCTTCAGAGTTTCCACATCGTCAAACAACCTACTAACAGCAGCCAGCTCAGCTCTATTGATTAGCAGTGACAGAAAAACAAAATGGAGTTAGAATGTATTTTGACCTTAAATGCCGTATTAATGATAAAGATGGATTCATTCTATCAGGCAAGAGAAACTTCAGAGGAAAGTAGTAGTAAATTCATTAAAACAATAAAATATACTTTTTTCTTGCTGTTTTTTTTTTTGTTTTTTTTTTTAAAACATATTTAAACTATAAAAACATGTTGGACATAATTAATAATCCTCTCAGTCATTTGGCTCTACAGAGGAATTAAAAGTTAATGGTTCCAATCTTTCTCAAATATTATATTATTTTCTTACATTAACATTTAGCTATGCATTTGCTCTGGATTTTTTTTTATATTTAGCAAATACTAGATATTGAAATAGAAAAGCTGAAGTGAGGACCATCCTATAGACAACTTCGAAAGCAGCACGAACTTTCACCATAAACTCTTGACTATGCATTTTTCAAAACACAAATCTTTGTTTGAAAACAAATTTTCAACCACAAGACAAAATCCCCAGAAGTTAAAACTGCAAGTT